TCTTTCCCTTCACTGTGGGCTGTGAAAGGCCCTATCCCCATTATACTTGATAAAGTAACCTGCAGTGATCCCTCCTGCCTTAGACCTGACCTTGCTACTCTGAGCAGAGAGGACCACTGCACTTCACAGTGGCTCTGGGGTGTCCAGCAGATGCCCTGGACCTGGAACAACCTGCAGGAGCAAAGCTAACCATAGATATGAGGCTGTCCTGTGAAGACAACAAGGTTTTTATCCCAAATTTATCAACAGTGCTGCTTATCCATGATTTCATGGTGAGAGTAGAAGAGCTGAACTCTGAACTTTGGCCAGCATAGGAGGTCTCTGACCAACAGAGACAGGAAATAGCTACAGTGAGCTAATAAATAAATGGTGCAACAGTAGCTCTGCCTTATATGGTCTTCATGGGGAATTTCCTTTGTTTTTTAGATTGGCTATTTATACCTTAGAGTGTAAAAATGATGTCAATGAAGTCTCCGCTGTTCCCCACAAAGAAAACCAGCCCCAAGAATTTCTGCAGGGCTGAGAGACATCCTTGAGCAGCTAGCTCTCAGAGACTGTTTAAAAGACTGGCAAAGTCAGCAGGAAACCCAAGCTGCTGTGCAATTCCTGAGGAGTCCCCTCCATTTCCATATACCCCTTTAGAAGTCTGTTGCCTGCTGGTCAGGGGGCCAGTTTTCCCAAACTCTTCTAGGATATAGATCTGCCCCTGTAAAAGTCCATCTTGTCTCTGACAATCTCCCAGAATATCTCTGACTCTCCCAGTCTGTCCTTTCTCTCCTTTTTTCTTCCTTCCTCCTTTTTCTCTTCTCCACTCTCTGTCTCGAGCAGCTGTCAAGGGATTCAGCTCCAGCGTTGGAAATCCTCAGCTGAGACCTATGTGACTGAACACCCTGGCGGTGTTCCCCCAATCTGCCCAGCAGGGACAGGGGATGCAGGCCATGGGGTTTGCTGCTGCCCTCGGAAAGCTGAGGAGGCATTTTGAAGAGCTGAGGTCCTAGCCATGCTGTGCATCATGAGCAAAAGTGCTGTTTCCATGCTCATGGGCGGGAAATCAAAGGTTAAGCCCAAAAGGAAAAGGTCCATCAGTTCAAGCTGAGTTTGCTTAGACAAGGCTCTGGCCCTAGGATGGGACAAAGGGCCAAACGTGTTCTTCAGCTTGTGAATCAGCCCACACCAGGGTGAGACAGGAAGGTTTGGGTCCTCTCGTTGGGTCACGTGGTAGTGATGGCTCACAGCTCCAACTGGAAAAGTCATTTGGCTGTTGGGCTTCACGGGCTGTCCTGCCTGCTCTTCCCTGTCCTCTGTGGTGGAGCTACCTCACCATCCAGATGCATACTGTAGGCTGCCCGTGGGACCCTCCTGCCAGCTGTGCCTGTCCAGGTGAGCCAGTGTCACTACACGTCTTGATCGTTTCTTGCTTCATCGGCATGTTTCTTTTCTCCTGATTGCCAGCTTAACAAACAAGCACTTGTTAACACAAATTAAGCCAACGTTCCAGCATGTGGCAAGGCATTTGCTCTTATGGGAGTGTGAGAGGGCGAAGAAAGTATTCAAGGAGGAAGGGGAGAGAGGGGAAAGGGGGACTAAAAGAGCCTGCCACACCTGGGGGTCACTTTCCTCTTTTCCTACTCTGCCCTGAGGGTGCCAGTCTGCAAACCCCCAGAGGAGTGCAACGCAGCCTGGGCAGGCCTGCGGCAAATCCAGGTCTGGTGGGAAGAGTTGGGCAGGAGAACGAAAATATAACTCAAGGTGGAGAGAGAAGTGAGCGGAGGGGGGGCAGAATTGTCTGAGCTTAGCGGGAGAGGGAGCAGGAGGGAGGAATATCTGCGTGGTCCATTTGGCCTGTCGGTACGACTACACTCCTTTCTTCTCATCGTGGTCGCCGTACGCAATTAGGAGCTGCGATGACGAACCCACAGCAGCGCTCGGCAGCCAGCGAAACTGCTGCTGCCTGCCCCGGCACTGGCACCCGCGAGCAGGGGCGGCCAAAGCCGGCGGGAAGGGAAAAGCCAACTCGAGTTCAAGGGTTGCCAGTGTACTTGAGACAAGAAAAGCTCTTGCTGGTGACACATGCATCAGGTGTTTAGAGACGATAACAAAACCTGCCTGAGGTCATCGATATTTAATTAGCAATGGGCTTGGTTAAACATTAATCACTGGGGCCAGGAGGGAGGGGAAAAGTACTGAAGTGAAGGGAGAGGTTTAACTCTTTGCAAGGAAACACAAGGGAGAGGGGAAGCCGCCTGCAAGGAGAGGGGATCTCTGCAATCAGACCCAGTTGGACCCTGTCATTAGAGGAAAAGCTCTGGGGTACGCACACCTCGCAGGGCTCCGTTGCAAAGGAGCATTTTACCATGCGGAAATGAAATGGGTCAAAATCAGACGCTCGGCGTTCCTGTGCCCAAAGGGCCCCAGGGTAGCTGAGCAAAATGCTGTCATGCCAGCCTCGGGGTAGGGAGGGCGTTCGCTTGTCTGGTTTT